AAAGTTGCTAACATGAAGGGGAACTCAGTATTGAAAGGGCAGGATGAGATCATCTTATCTGGTGGCCTTAAAACCAGGCTGGACTGTCACTGGTCCACAGGAAGGCAGCATGGGGTAGTGGACCACAGGCTCTGAAGTTAGAGGCCTGGGTTAAAGACCTGACACACTGATTCCTCCCAACAAACTGCTCAGCGATTTGCTCTGAGGATTAAATGAGCTAATATAAAGCATTTATGCTTTGCCAACCCCACTGTGCACAGGACCATACAGTTTACACTTGCCTCTAAGCTCTCTGCAAGGCCCTGGGGTTTGGAGGTACGGCCACTCAGAGGAACAGCCTGTGTCAAAAAAGATTTAGTTCTATTAAATTCTTACATGACCCTGTTTGATGGGTTTCAAGCCAAGGTCAGACGCTGTGCCACACATATTACAGAGGTACAAAGGTTCAATAATTGGAAATCATCACTGAAATGAACGGGAAAAAAAGATCCTTACATAGATTATAGCTCCAATTTGGTGAGAGAGCTGGCTTTGCTTGGAGGAGGAGGCATGACACTTTCTTGCCAAATATCTAACCCTTTAACAATGCCTGTCTGGCGAGCCTGAATGCTCTAGGAAAAGGCCACCAATAAAATCCTTTCCAAAGGTCTGCGTGGAGCGGGGAGACAGGAAATGCAGTCAGCTCTTTTTTCTCTGCAGGAAGGGAAGGCTGAACAACTGCATATCAGGAGAGAAGGCAAACAAATTGCCCATTCAAGCCAAAATAAGCTGCTCCTAGGGGAAGCAAAACAGCTGGAACCAATTCAGCCAGACACGGAGGTGAGGGCCCCGAAGCCAGAGCTGGGCCTGGGAGCCAGCTTCTGGTAGGCAGGGATCTTCCGAGCAAGTGGTGGTCGCATGCCCTCATGCCACCTCTGCTGACCTCAGTCTCTGCCCACGAATGGGAGCCAGGCAGCCAGCTCTGTGAGATGTGGAGGGAAATCCTAGGTGGGAAGGCAGAAAGAAAGAAACGGCCCAGTGAACCTGCCAAGTGAGCGAGCACCTGCTGAGCACCTGTTACGTGGCAGACACTGAGCAGGCCCCTGACATACCTATGCCATTTGGAAGAACAACTTTCAGGGGTGGTTGATTGTACACATGAGGAATCAGCCTCCCTGAGGTGGAGTGACTGTGCATGGCACAGTTAGAAGTGGCCAGGCCAGCTGTGGCCTCTGGCCTCAGCCCTCTCCTTCCTGACTGTCACTTGAGTTTCTCTGTGTCTAGCTCCAGCAGCTCTTCCTTTGTCCGAAGCCCAGACTCGCACTAGCCATGGCCATGCCTGGTGGCAGACACAGAATATGTCAAGAGAAGCCTCATTGGAAAACTAAGGAAAGAACCAAACCAAATTGCAAAAGAAGGGGAAAAAAGAAACCTGGAAGCAAATGAAGTAGCAGAGTAGAATTATTTTGTTCCCTAGAGAAACCTGAAGTGTGGCTGCTGTGGGGTTTGCTTCAGGTTGGAACATGCACGTTCTGAATCCCTGTCTGGGGCAGTGGACAGCAGAAGCCTGATCTGGAACAAACCTGGCCTAGCACTGTTTCCAGATCCCCCAGATTGGGGTCCCCAGGCTCCAAGTTTTACAAATGCCTTCTGCAGCTATGCTGAGACCCTGCACTTGTGCCCGGAATTCTGGGTGGGGAAGACACTTCCCTCTCTAGCTCCTGAGGTTCCCACCTTGAGCGTCAAGCCTTCTTATACTTATCTTACAATTACTTCCTTCCTTGAAGTCTTAATATATGATGATGATGATGACGATGATGAGGAGGACAATAATAATGCCAGCTAACATTTATTGAGCCTCTACTTTTGGGCCAGGCACTGTTAGCACTTTACGTAACAACCTTATGAGGTCAATCATATGATATTCCAGATGAGGCGATCAAGACACAGGGGGGTTAAGCCACTTATACAAGGGTACACAGCTCCTAAGTGTGGGAGCCAAGACTGGAATCAAGCAATCGGACCCTAGGGTCTGTGCTCTCCCTGACCACCACCCACACTGGATAGGGTCGAAAGAACAGTCTTGCAAGTCAGGCAGACAGCTCTACTACTTATTGCTGCTTACCCTTGGACAACCTGTAGAGCCTCTGAGTCTCAGGTTTCTTCTCTATAAAGCGGGTACAGCAAACACACTTTGGGGAGTGTGCATTCTTTTTTTTTTTTTTTTAAGATTTTATTTATTTATCTGACAGAGAGAGACACAGTGAGAGAGGGAACACAAGCAGGGGGAGTGGGAGAGGGAGAAGCAGGCTTCCCGCGGAGCAGGGAGCCTGATGTGGGGCTTGATCCTAGGACCCTGGGATCATGACCTGAGCCAAAGGCAGACGCTTAACGACTGAGCCACTCAGGTGCCCCTGGGGAGTGTGCATTCTAAGACAGAGCAGGTCCTGAGTCACATCCTTCCACCCATCTCTCTTCCACCTCCCTCTCTGGTTTGTCTGTTGCACGTTCATTAGACACTAACGCTGCTTCTACACTTGAGGAAAGTTTGGCTCCCTTATATTCTGTTCTAGTCTGTTCTGTAACTGTTTTGCGCCTACTACACGGGAGACACAGCACCGGGCACAGAGGGCCCGGATCTCAGGGAATGAGACTGAAGGCAGAGAAATCCATCTCAAGTGGGCAATGGTAGAAGGGCTGAGGCGAGGAGCTAGCTGTGAGAACTAGGCTTTAAGCAGTAGGAGCTCTCCTCCTTCAGCTTGTCTCCCTCTCCTGGCCTTCTGCCAGAGCCAACAGGTGCTTCTTGTCACTTCCTATTGCACAGCCCGCGCCCTGCAGGACACCCATGGAGGGTCCCATCCCTCCAGTGGTGGAGAGCCTCTGCTCCCAGCTCACACGCAAGCAGGTGGATATGCCCAGAGCCGTGTGACTGCGCCCACCTTTCCTGACTCTGCAACCATGCGTTCAACAGACTGTGAGCCAAGACCGGGCACTGAGGACAAAACAGAGAATAACAGGTCTGCCCTCCAGGAGCTCACCGGCACACCTTGCTCTCCACAGCGTCTGATGTTCTCCTCATTTGGGAGAGGACAGAGGAGAGTTGGGTAACACTGGACACCTTTCCAGAATGTTATCATGTCTCTATCCCAAGTAACAATGATTTCACTAGCACAGTTACACTAATAAGCCATTCTCCCCTCTCCCACCTTGACCAAGAGAAATGAGAAGCAAACAGAACTATAAATACACACACACACACACACACACACACACACACTTCTCTCACACCCCGTATATATCAGGTATCTCACATACATTAATCCTCACAGCAATCCTGCAAAGTGGAATTCTCCCCATTACAGAGATGAGGGGGGACATGGGAGCTCACACGGAGATGGAGCCGGTGTGAACCGAGGTTGTGTGCCTGCAGAGTCCGTGCTCTTTCTACAGCCCTAGGCTGCCTCTGTCGGCTCAGCCTGCCACCCTGCTAGCTAGCTCCAGCCCCTCCTTCATCGGGACTGTGTTCTTTCCCGTATTTAGATTCCCTGCAATCTTCTTGTTTGTGCTGGTCACAGAGGGAGCCAACCTCTCTCCTAGACCAGCGAAAGCAGCAGTGCCAGCATCCTAGGCACCACCTCGGACTCTGTGATTAGCGTGTCTTAATTACACCCAGGCTGGAGCAGTTCCGGGATCAAGTATCTGGTGCGGCTGCAAAGCATGCAGGTTTGCTGTTACATTTTCTCTCTCCGTCTCTGACTCCAGCCCCGTTTACTCCCCACCCCCTCTGCTGGCTGGCAGCCCACCTCCTCAGCTGTCCTTGGTTCTGCCTCGTTGCACATCACGTTCAGGCCTACTGCTGCCACCTCAGGCAGCTGAGCCAGTCTAAGCTCAATTCAGAAAACAGTGCTCGAGTCTCTGCCGAGTACCAGGCACTGCTCTGGGTGCTGCAAATAGGCAGGAAACAAAAAGAAAACGCAGGGGTCTTGCCCTTCAGAAGCTGAGTCAGAGGCTGGGAGACAAGTAGCCTGGAACAGAAATCACCAACAGAAGGCAGGCAGTGATGGGTTTGTAACAGGACCCTAAAATACCAGAGGAGGAGGGAATCTTGATCTTCTGTTTACACCCCTCCATTTTTCAGATGGGGAGCTAAAGCCCAGAGGAGGGCAATTAGAACAAATATCAGATAATAACAATGAACATTTCTAAAACCCTTACTAGGAGCTAAGCACTGCTCTATGTGCTTTACATATATTAACTCCTAGAAGGTAGTTGCTACTGCCCTCCCATGGAGGGGTTAAGTACCTTGTCCAAGTTCACACAACTAGTAAGTGGAAGCCTGTATTGAACTCAGGCAGTCGGGCCCTCCCGACACTTGTGTCTCTTTAATGCACTGTGATATGGAGACTAGTCTACCTGGAGGAATAATGAGGAAACTTCTTGAAGGAATTATTCATAGGCCTAATCATAAAAACAGTGACCCTTGGTTATCCAAAACCAATTAAGGGGAAACCTCAACCAGTCAGGAGGTTAGCTTCATCTGGGAGTTCCTGAGTGCCACGGAATACAAGGCAGTGGGGGGCAGTGAGCAGAGCCCCATATTTCCAAAGAAAGAGGAAAGAACTTGGAATAAGGGATTTATTCAGAGAAACAAGAGCAGCCCAGTCCTCTTCCCCTTTTATGTCTGGCTTTCTACACATGATGTCCCTGGTCTGTAAAATCTTTAATATCCTCAAATGCCACTGCCTGGGGCAGGGAGGCCAGCTTAGGTACCTTAAAAAGACACTCAATGATGTGGATAGAAATTTTTAGAAAAGGGGCTTCTAGTAAAGCCCTGGGCAATCAAAGACTTCCATTTCCTAGAATCTCCCCCAACATGTACCACACACACACACACACACACACACACACACACACACACACACACACAGAGGCACCCTGGCCTTTGATTAATCCAAAGTCCTCTCTAACTCTGCCACAGGAGTTTCAGAACATACATAGTTCTCAGTATACTCATTACTTACCAATCACTGCCAGATTATGCTCTGAGCCACAGGAGACCTATAAAAAGAAAAAAAAAAGGTATATTAGAGAAAGAAAATTCCTTGTCCAAGGAAAAGTGCTTGACTTTTTCTCATCTGCTCACTGTCCCTTTCACCCTCCAGCCTCATAAAGAACATGACATGTACTCTCATACCTCTGGGCCTTGGCACGTGTGGGTCCTCTGTTTGGGATGCCCTCTCCTCGACTGCCTAGAAAACTTCCACTCACCCTTTAAAGGCTCGACGTGTCCCCTGAGACTCCTTTGTTTCTAGGCAGACCCAAATACTCCCTTCATGATGCAACTTATCTGTACCCCATCATAGCAGTTCTCTTGTTGCCTTTTACACTTGCTCCTGTCTCTTCACTGGACTGCATGTGTCTCGAGACCAGGCCTGAGTCTCATTCACCTCTGGACTGTACAAGGTCTGGGACTCAGTTAACATCTGCTAAGGGAGAGAATGAATGAAAAAACCAAGTACATAAAAGAAAAAATACCTACTACATTAGAGACAAAGAATCATTTGAGGCCCTGAACCTAGTGTTTTCACCCAGCAAGCAGCACTTCCTGCCTTTCAGTCTACTCGTCCCAGCCGCAGCCAGAAGGAAGTAAGTGGGAATATAAAAGCATAAGTGCTTCCCCAGGTACTAATTAAAAGAAACTGTGGACTCTGGAGAAGCATCCTGTGACCTTTATCAGGATGCTCACTTTAGCTCCTGGCAAGAGGAAGGCTTCAGGTCCCCATGAAACATCAGTGCTGCAAGGGCCCTGGAGATCATCTAGTCCAATCTTTCTACATTGTGAGGAGACAACAGAGGCTTGGTAAGAGGAAAGAACTTGCCTCAGGTGCCGGAGCAAGCGTCCGTCAAAACAAGGACTAGAGCATCCCCGATTCTCCGGAGGCTCATGCTGGTTCCTTTCTTGAGGCTGTAGCTTCTCACCCCTTCCCAGTGAAAACCACTTGGAAGTGATATTCAAAGGTCACTAGCATGGGCCCCTGACAGTCAAGGTAACAGGTTCAAAAGGCATTTGAGTATCGGAGGCCTAAGAACACACTGGTAGGTGAGAAGGGTCAGCAAAGCTTCTGAGACTTTTGTCTTTGTAAAAGCTGTGTGCTCCTGATCTCAGCTTCTGGAGGAAACAGAGATGCCCGCACTTAGGTGAACTCCCTGACAGTGTCTGGCAAAGAAGCACCTACATATTTTGCCCCAGTCAGTATTTCCAGGTGTCTAGCCTCTGCATTCCCTTGAGGCAGGCTCAGTGACTGGTATCTGAGGGGTTCCACCATCCCCCGCCCAGGGTCATAAAGACAGCACAAGTTCTATGTGCTTCCTGGTGACACTGAGCTGCGTCCCGAGGTTCTGTCAGAGGAAGCTGCTTAGGTTGAGGAACTGGAAAATACTTAGATGTCTAGCAACAGGGGAATGCTTATGTAAATTACGGTGGAGCCATCTGATGAACTATTACATAGCCTTGAAAAATAATGCTTACAATAAAGAAAAAAGCTCATGATATCCTATGAACTGAAAAATCACAGGAAAACTGTATATGTAATAGGATCTCGACTCTATAATAAAACACGAACAAAAGACTGGAAGAAGATACATCAAAAGTTCATAGTGATAGCCTCGGGGCTAGGAATGAGGTATGCGTTATAAATATGGTTTTTCCTTTTGCTTTTTCTATGCTCTCTAAATTTCATACAGTAATCTTATAATCAGAAAAAAATTACTAAAAATAAATATAATGTACCTACTACAAAGGAGAAATAAATAAATATGGCTATAAAATAAATATGCCATAAAATCTGGTATGTTCTGAAGTTGTGGGGAAAAAGATTTGAAGGAAATATAACTAATAACAATGGTAGTTGCATCGTAATGGTAGGATTATAAGACACTTTTTCTTCTTGTCTCTGTTTTTCAAACAGTCTTTAACTGTGATGGTAGCAGTAGTGGTGGGAGAAGCAATAACAACAGGATTTAAAGTCACCATATATTGAGGATGTATAAAACCCAAGTAGCATGCCAAGGCCCTCTGTAAACATAATCTCATCTTAATCATCCCAACAATCTTTTCAGGGAGGTCTGACTGGGCTCATTTTAGAGATAAGAAAACTGAGGTCCATACTGCATTAAATAACTTTCTTGGCTAGCTAGTGGCAGCAGCAGAACTAACACCCAGGTCTGCCTGATCTCCAAGCTGATGTTCTGTACTGCTAGATGTTACCTTTGTTTTTTAAAAATAAAGTTATTTCATTTTACAAACTGCAGACAGAGAAAGGGCCCACCTCTGACTGCCAGGGTTCCCCCTGGGGCGGCAGACTACAGAGCTGACCAACCCGGAGGACCAGGGGCTTGCAGAAACAAGCCACTGACAAATGCCAGTATCAGGCAGTAGATGCTGCCCTGAATTAATGAGTGAGGCCCTGATGAATGGAGTTTGTCAAGGCAATGTAGAGCTGGAAGCTCAAAGCTCCCCACTGCTTCTTGCTGTCTGTGCACTGGCATACAGGTCAGGAGACTGAACACCACAGGCCACAAAATCCAAGGGCTACACTCCTTCAACAAGATCGTATCAACGACCATTTGCTTCATATTGCTCCTGTCAGCATCTACCCACTACCCAGCTGCAGGCAGCTTTCTAGAAGACTCTGTTAACAATGGCAGCATGACCAGGAGAAAGAGGTTCAGAGCCAGGAAGCCAGGTGAGTCCTAGGTCCTCTGCTTTCTGGCTTTGAGACGTTTGGCAAGATATTTAACTGCTCGGGCCTCAGTGTTCTCAGGTGTAACAAGTAGATAATAGCGTCACCCTGTCTGCCTCACAGAATTGCCAGAGGACAAACGAGACTATCCATCCCATTGCAGCCATTTGTCTCACTTTCTTTACATATAAATCTGAATGTCATGCCCCTATTCAAAGCCCTTCACTGGCTCCCCGTGCTGGCTTTCAAGGCCCGCATGAGTAGGTCCCTCTTTAGCTCTCTGGCTTCACTTCTCTCTGCTACTCATGAACCCTCAACCCAAATAACATACTCCCTTTTTTTTCCATTCACACTACATTACATTTTCTCTAACAACATAAGGCAATTTCAGGCTTTTACGAACGCTATTTTCCTTGACTTGAATTCCCTCTCTCCCACTGTCTACCCAGTTAAATCCTTTAAGATTGCCCAAACATCACCTCCTGGAAAAGACTTCCCTGACTCTGGAAGCAGACCCATCTGCTCCGCCCTACCTACTCCCACGGCACTACGCATCGCGGCCTTATCCCACAGGAGACATCTCTTTACAAAGTGCGCCTGTGTGAAGCACCTCTGTCCCTCAGGCGTCCAGCAGAGTGCCTCCCCAGGAATGTCTCTGTCACACAGCCCAAGCAGACAGGGCATGGAGTTGGGGGGGGTAGGGGTAAAAAGATGAGGGGGCCCAGAGGAGTGAGATGATCCCAAAACAAGTGTAAGGAGTGGTGTGGCCACTATAGTCCAATGGAAGCCAGGTGCTGAGATGCACAGTGACAGCAGGAAGGCACCGGGTGCGACAAGAACAGTGTTGAGGTGATGGGAGCCTGAAAAGCGATAGTAGGATTGTTTCAGGGACTCCCGCCTATGGCAAAGCGCAGCAGACCAGCAAAGGAGGTCAGACCTGAGAGATGGGAGCCCCACTACAGAGGAAGTAGGGTCCAGCTGGCCGACTGGGGCCTTCAGGAGAAGGGGGCACACCTCCCCACAGGTGAGGGGACCAAAAGTGGCTGTGGAAACCTGTCCTGACTCGGTGCTGCTCAAGCACTACAGGGGTCTGCTCTGTTCAGGCCCCGCAGCCACAGGACGCAGAGCCGCAGGAAACAATTTCCAAACCCCCAGCTGCCACAGGGCCAAGATCTCCCGGCGAGCCTCCTGCCAGGCTAGACTCCGTCAGTTCTTGTGAAGAGCGTCGCAACTCCTCCGGGGCCTGGATACCACTAAGGACAGCTGGACTGGGATGAACTGACTGGTGGTAGGTGCCCAGGGAATACTCGCTTCGGCAGCACTAAGACGAAAATCGGAACGATATGACAGTAGATGCCCAGAGAATATATGCTGAATGCATTAATGGGTTAAACGAATGAATAACTAAATGAATAAGCAAAAACTGGATGAATGTGAACACACCTGCCAAATGCTACATGTGAGTACTCTAGCTCCGGGCACCACTGTTGTACCACTTCTAAAAACAGGTGACTGTTCCTTACTGAGTGCTTATGGCCAGCCACCTGACTGCTTTGCCTGTATTATTTACTTATGCCAACGCGAGCAGATAGGTTCTTTTGTTACGACTGTTTTTACAACCGGGGCGATTGGGGTTCAGAGAGTACAGTAACTTGCCCAGTCTCTTCCAGCTAGTGGAGGTGCAGGATTCTATGATCTTTCAGATTCAACTTTTCTGTCCTCCCAATAGTTGGCAAACAGGATGGAAATAAACCACACCCACCCAGTACCAGTTCCTTATATCTGGAAACCATGTGCCTATTAGCAAGGGATCTTAAGCTGGGGCAGCCCTAGACTTACAAAGCGCAGACATCTTCCTGGGGCTCGGAGGGCCCACCTGCGGACCAATCAAGAAGCTGCTCCAGAGCTTTTTCTTTGGGGGAAATGGCTGTAAAGTGGCAACAAAGCTTCGCCCCTGCCCTCCCTAGCAGGTAACTCCGACAGACTGTTCAACTCTGAACGTGGGGGGCGGGGGGGGGCAAGCAGGGAAGGTGTGTGTGACCGGGACTCAGGGGGAAGTAGCACTGAGATCCCCAGGAGAGGATGCGGGGCGCCTGGGCCAGTCCCGTGCCACCGGCCAGGAACCACCCACCTCTTCCTAGGAACAGCACCCCCCCCCCCCCCCCCCCCCCGGGCAGCCCTGGGACCAGCCGGAGCACAGCCACAACAGCCTGCGGGGCCTTCTGATTGGTTCCCGCCCTGTGCCAATGGGCCCGTGTGCCCCGCGGATGCCATGGCAACCAGGCGCCTGGCGGAGGCGGGCCATTCCCGGGGACT